GAAACTAAAGATTATTAAATTTCTGCAAATTATATGTCAATAACAGAATTTCTGTAAAAAATTCTGTATCTTCAGTGAAGAAAAACTAGATTTGTACTTTTCCACTGTTTACTTTTCAAGAATTCGGTTTTCTGAAGAGATGCGGAAAAGAATTTGAGTATCAACTTTTCTAAATTGATTTATTTATCATTTATACTCAGTGAAATGACAAGCGTTGACTCATGTTAACGTATATGTCAAAGTTGCATAGCGGAAATAGGTTTTGCAACTTACAATTGTCGTCAGCCTCTGTGGCGTCGAATGTAAAGAGCGAAAAAGAGCAAGGCTGCTCGATATGAGGGCAGTGGTGCCAGTATAAGCACATGGCTAACTATACTAGTCAATGACTATTTTCAGGTATCCCGCAGTTCCACGCCGGAGTTAAATATAACTGCTACGAAATATTTCGCGTGTTCCTTAGAGACGCATTCTCCTATCGATCAATTTAAGCGACTAATACGGTCAGCAACTGCGATGTTCTAAAACTCCCGCGATATATCGTATTATTTTATATATATATATATATATATCTAACAAAATTATTTCTTGTTTCTTTTCCTTTCGAGTTTAACCTAATATATCTAATAAACTTAATATAAATAATAAAATACTTGCTGGCGTCACAGCAAATAAAAAATTAATATTAATATGGCAGGTCACGTGTAGCAGGTATTGTAACTCACGATAAATACTGCGGTTTCGCGCAGTTCATTTAATTTTTATTCACTCTTCAGTCCCGTCCGAGTATATTTGACCCGAGTCTATTTTATCTTTAAAATGAAAACTCTACATGGCTTTTAATATTTTTGAATTTCATAATTCTTTTCGTTTTGAACAGATTTTCTTGTAAAAAATCGTGACTCTGCTTTAATTAACTGTTCGTCACGTTTTTGCTTCGTGTTTTTAATTGAAAGGTGGTGGACGTATTTGCCTCACGTTGTTAGCGTATCATCTTTTTATTAAATGCATTTTTTGCGCGGAAAATAACGTATGTATATTCAAAGGTATACTCGCATAAGAGTCTATAGACTCTTTTCCTCGCTACATAAGTAGAAGTTAATCATTCCATTTTTCAAGAGACAATATGATTGACGTCTTCATAATCACATGATTACACAACACCGTTTTGTATATTATAAAAAAAGTTTACAGCAGAAATATTTTTATAATTTGCGTAAATTGAATAACTAGCATTAGATATACTCAACATATACTAAAAATGGTGCGTCGCGACAGGTGAAATAAAGTAACGTCGAATCAATACGTAAAAGGGACATATGTTATTCATTCATTCGAGACAAAGATAGTTCAAGGTTACGCCTGATTTAATTCAATCTGAAAGTTCGACCAACTTCCAATCTTAGAAGATGTACGCTCAGCAATGTGACATTTTGTTTGGTGCCGCATGAAATACGAGTGCATATATATCGTAATCTGAACCTACCTACGGACCTACGGACGTGAATTTTTCGGATGGAAAATACCGGGTAAAATTCACTGGCGCGCGAAAATCCGCTCCTCTAACTTGAATTATTTTAAGCTCATCATTTCGGGCGGCAGCCCTTCTTATCAATCACGAACAGCTATTTAACATACGTCTATTTTCGCGGAGGTAGGTCACGAAAAGTGCACGGGTGGCCCTCGCGTGATTATGACGTCCGAGGTTTATGGACGCCGAAATCATATCGGTTGCCATCCAGCAACGGCTCAGATCGAGTTTCCATTACCAGATTAGCATGACGCTCCACAACGTCTACCTCGTTGCCGTAGGGTAATACTTCTGCCTAAAAGTACCAGATATCTCACTTACAATCGAGATTCAGAATTAAATAGCATCGTGATTTCGTCGGATTTAATTTTGGGCGCGAAATCGAAAAAGCCCGCTTTAAACCAATTTCATTTCCGTTTTTTAAAAAAATCTGGATTTAAGATAATTTGGGAGAGTAAAGATTTCTAAATTAATTAATATAAAATAATATACGTGTATATAATTTTATATATATATATATTTATATTTATATCAATTAATTTAGAAATCTCCCAAATTATCTTAAATCCATATTTTTTAAAAGACAAAAATGAATTTGTTTTAAAACGAGCTTTTTAAATTCAAATAACGTTGCAACGATTTCTTGGACTACTGATAGCCGCTGTACGATTTAATGTTAATCGATGACGCATTCGAAAATTTACACAACGAAACTCGATATATATGTACACTAACATAAAATCGTAAAAATTGAACTTTGTTATAAATTCTCGATAGCAAAATGCGTTAATTATCGAACACCAAATTGTACAGCGACTGATCCAAGAAATCGCGCGGAATCGCAAAACGTGATCGATTGTGTTTCAGTCGCGATTTTCAGTCGCACATGGATACGCACACCTTTCGGATAGACGAGTCAAAGGTTTGGGTTTCAATGGAAATTTCCTCGTTACGTACTTCGTTCCGCGTCCGTGTCCGCGTCGCCGAACGCCCATCGATCGATCCATACTGTGTAACACAGAAAGCACGCGACGGCCTAACATCTGCCGCTGCGGATCGCGGCTCTAACGTAATAGCGGCTTTAAACACAGAGGTGCCGAGTTACGAGCTATTTAGGTGTTAAACGACGCATCAATTACCGCAACATCGTGTTATCGCGAAGTTCGCGAGGGATTGAGATAACGCAATCGCGATCGAGATCGACGTGCTCCAATTTCCTTGCATGTTTCAGTTTTTTTTTAATTCGCCAGTCTCTGAAGTCTCCATTTCCGCTAATTGTTGATTAAAGATCAGAACTAGCTAGAATTTAAGAAGCTCTCAACAATCGGAATATAATTAATTGTTTGGTCATTTTGGATTTAAAAGTATTAATGTTTTCTCGCAGCTTTGTACGCAACTTCATCGCGTGATGTGTGCGTGTAAAAAAATGCGTATCTTGATACTTACCAATCCGCGACCTTCTCCCTAGTTCTAGTTTGTGTGCGAATGCCAAAAAAATCGCTGAAGTGGTAGAGTGGCTGAACGGGTTAGGACTTAGGTTGCTCGATCAATACAAGGCGCTCCAGCTCCTCTCTACGACCGCGAAACTAGACATCTAGGCGCAAAGGGAGGAGAGAGGATCATGTTAGGGGCAAGGGATGCGAGAAAACAAATAAGATGACATTGTAAAGTAGAAAATAATCTAATAGATGAAGACAAAATATATCTAGTAAGCGAATAAAAAAATTATGTTAAATTATATTTAAATTATTATTTAAAAAGGTTATAGAAGATTTAAAAAGATTATAAAAGATTTAAAAAGATTATACGTACAGGACATACGTATACAATTAAATTTTTTTTTTTTTTTGAAAAATTTAGATATTTGCAACACTGAAATTAGAAATCTACTGAAACAAACTGATATATACTTATACAGGTGCGTATATTTTAGGTGCCTTCCTCATTCCTTTTTTCGTGATGCTCATCTTGGAGGGTGTACCCCTCTTCCTGATCGAGCTGGGTCTCGGACAACGTATGCGGCAGGGTGCCCTGGGCGTTTGGAACACAATACACCCTTGGCTAGGCGGTATAGGGATCGCGTCGTGTATAGTGACGTTTTTCGTTGCGCTTTACTACAACGTAATTATTACCTGGTGTGTCTACTATCTCTTCAACTCGCTCGAGGTAAGCAGATCGATAAGGTTCGTAACACCACGATTGACGCCACGGTAATCTGCGTCGAGACGTCTTAAGTGACTCTTCCACTTCACTATTATATAATTTAAACTTAAATTGTATAATGGAAGCCACCGCTCATGGTGATACAAAGCGTTTAAAATCTGTCAGTACTTTTAATAAAATTTATGATATATTTTTATTAAATATTAGAGATTTGTCTATAAAAATTATAGAAGAAGAAAATTAAGAAACTTTGTTTAATTAAAGAGTGTTAAATGTAAGCAGTAATATATTACTTTAAATAATAGCAATTAATTAAAATAAATAGAATATTATCTTTAAATTTAATAAATGGCGTCCTCATAGCTTCTATCAATATTCTTATAAAATTGCAGAATATTAATAAGAATATTAATTATCTTTTTTTCATGTGTCCGTTAGGCTATCACGATCAAATTTGGTGTAAGTATCAATTTCTAATAAATAATAGATCATGCACTACATTGCATATTTGCAGTTATTATTATTATTATTATTATTATTATTATTATTATTATTATTATTATTATTATTATTATTATTATTATTATTATTATTATTATAATATAAATTGCATGGGAGTGCTGTAGTATGTAAATCTTATCACAATGTCGGTCTTTCAGTTCAGCACTCAAAGTGTCGCTTTAGCTTTTACAACGCAATAACGGTACGTGTTAAAGCCTTTATTCATGATCTATTTGCATATTCTGATGCAATTTAGGAATCACTGCCGTGGGCAAAATGCCCGGAATTGGACGGAAAACCGGTTGAGGAATGTACCAGGAGTTCGGAGACCGCATATTTTTGGTATAGAACTACTTTGGACGCAGCACCGTCCATTGAGGACGGCCAAGGTCTGAAATGGTGGATCGTACTTTGTCTTTTGTTCAGCTGGATTGTCGTGTTCTTCATTGTCATGAAAGGAATACAATCGTCCGGCAAGGTAAGCCCTCAAGATAGATCAAAGCTGATACTCTCGATGTTTTTTTATTATTATAGAAACGCCTGTCAGTAAAATTAATCGTGCTGAAGAAATTAATTTCGCGATTTCCCTCTTCCGTCCATGGGATGACAAATTGCTCTTTCTTTTAGGTGGTGTACTTTACGTCCATGTTCCCGTATCTCGTACTGACCATCTTCTTCATCCGCGGAATAACGTTGAGGGGTGCGAGCGCCGGACTGGCGCACATGTACACGCCAAAGGTGACGATCGATCTCGATCGGAGCTGACCTTATGAGAGGAAAACGTTGCGAAATGCCGGACATTAGATATGACATTTACTTTCATTCCTTTATTCAAGGTCGAGAAACTGTTGGAGCCCACGGTCTGGCTTGACGCGGCGACCCAGGTCTTCTATAGCTTCGGACTGGCGTTCGGTTCCCTGATCGCGTTCGGCAGCTACAACACTCCTGACAACAACTGCGTGAGGGACGTGATCCTGGTGAGCGTGTGCAACGCGTTTACTGCCATTTACGCGAGCGTTGTCATTTTCGCCATTTTGGGGTTCAAGGCAATGTCAAACGTGGACAAGTGCGTCGTCAGGTAATGCGACCGCAAGCGCGGCCATCGTTTCTAAATTCGCCATCGCGAAGAGGGTAGTGAGAAAAAGTCGTCCACGGCTGCGGAGATGTATGTCTTTAAACGGCCATGATAGCTGTTGCCGCTTGCTCGAGATAGAAGATATGCGTGGTCGTCGCTTTTGACAGATGTACTATTAATATATAATAGCGCACCTTAGCCGAAATCTTAATTAAATTAAATTGTAAGATGTAAAGTTATGTTAATGATGTACAAACAATTTACGCTAATACTATTAGAATAAAACTGCAAGAATCAATTACATTATTAACGCACATGTATTTACACTTGCAATTTAATTTAATTAAATTGCGAGAGTCAGACGTGTCGACGGTTGAGCATTTAGAAACTTTAGGGAGGGATCGAGTCACAATGGGACGGGACGGGATATGTTGATCGTTGGCGAAGAACAGAGGGACACAGAAGATATGTTAAATTGCTTTTATTTTAGCGCAAGGGATACTCTGATAGAAAATGGAAAATGGAGTAATTCCACCCCATTCAACCTCGAGGACTATGAACTCTTTATGGGCGATTTCAATTCCTCGGCAATGAACTTCACAATGAAACCATGCAGTCTCAGTAAGGAGTTGGACAACGTGAGTATAACAATGTCACAAATTTGTTGTTCATACGATCGGAAAATAATTGACGATTTCTTTTACACAGGCTGCCGAGGGCACTGGACTGGCATTTATCATATTTACCCAGGCGATCGTGGAACTACCGGGGGCGCCATTCTGGTCTTGCATCTTCTTCATGATGCTTCTAGCTCTTGGATTGGGCTCGCAAATCGGTCTACTCGAGGGTATGCTGTGCGTCATCTTCGATATAGATCTCTTCAAGAGAATAAAAAAGCAATATATGACAGGTGATCAACTGTTGTGTCGTCAAAAAATTTAGTGAATATAAAAAAATGTAATTATTTATTTATATTAATTGTTATTTACGATGGCAGGTGTTGTCTGTGTTGTATGCTTCTTTGTGGGACTTATCTTTTGTACTGGTGCTGGAGAGTATTGGTTGAAAATGTTCGACAGCTTTGCCGGTACCATCGGTCTCGTCATTGTCGCCCTGATGGAAATGATCTCCGTTATCTTCGTTTATGGCCACGAAAAGTGAGTAACGCGACTATTCCATATTTGCGATTCTCTTCTCTAAATGAGATAGGTCAGCAGATTAATTGCGTGAATGATGTGCAGATTTACGAAGGACATCGAAGAGATGACTGGATATAAACCGGGACCTTACTGGCAATTTACGTGGCGATTTCTCGCTCCCATTATAATGGTTTGCATCCTCCTATTCAGCATTGTCTCTATGTTCATCAAAAAACCGCAATATTCGGCATGGAACGCGGCATTGGTGTGTAAAAAAATTATATATCTTAAAATAATAATATATAATTAATATATAATTAAAAATATAATATATAAAATTTTATATATATATATATATATATATAATAATTATAATATATAATATACAGGTGTCCGGCATCATCTCTCGTGTGCAGGTAGAGCTAAGTAAAACTAGAATAAGAAAAGTCTTGT